AGAAGGCTTAAGGTTGGAGGTCCTACAGGGTCCTGGGAAGGGAGTCTCCTGTGAGGCAAGGAGTGCCTCTTCTTTTCTTTGGAATCTTCCCTCCTTGACTCCTGTGACATTGTGTTTTCTAGGGCTCCACTCACCACTCCAATTGCCCTGTTTCTGAATTCTTCTGTGGCTCCCAGGGCTCGGACCTGGGCCTTTCAATTTGTTTACTTCCTAGGATAATAAATTCAATTGCATGGTTTCAACAGTTATCTTTATAGAATAACTGACAACTCAACATCCCCTTATTGTCTTATTCATGTGCTATTCCAGTGTTGCCAACTGTCCACAGGAGCCTTCATCTAAATATTTTACGATCACCACCATCTCAACCAAAATTCATATTCTGCCCTCAGTCCAAAGCAGCCCCTCCTCCCAACTTTCCAGTGCCTGAGCTTCAATGCCAACAGTGCGTCTTGCCTAAAGATCCTGATAATACTTTGTACTCTTCATGCTTTTCTGTCCCTTGCTCTCAGATACAGGTGTAAAGCACAGGCTTTAGGCCAGGCTAACTCAGACTCATTCACATCATAGCTCCACTACTTCCTAGTTGTGTAACCTGTGTGACCTCAGGCAAGGTACTTAACCTCTCTGTGCCTCAGTTTCCATACCTATAAAATGGGGATATTAGAAAATCTAGATCATAGTCTTATGGGGATTAAATTATAAATTTATATATATATATATATATATATATATATATACATATATACACACACACACACACACACACATTTGATATGTGCTTGACACCTAGTAGGTGTTCCATAAATGGCTGCTGGATTGCTGTTACTAATATTTCTACCTTTGAAATTTTACCACCTTAGTAGTCCAGATTTTCATCATTTTAGAGCTGGATTCCTTCTACAATCTCCCACCTGACCTTCCTGCCTCCAGGCTCATCCCTGCTAATCATTCTGCACACTGCAGCAAGGTTAATTTTCCTAAAAAACAGCTTTCAGTTTCATCACACCCCTGATGAAAACTTTCAGGGTATCCCAGTACCTTCAGGACACAATTTCCACTCTTGGGTGAGCACTGCCAGGCCTCCATGCCTGATTCCCGATGGACCCCATTCCAGAGCTTCCCCAATCCAGTCTCTCCACTGTCCTACAAACACAGCTTGTCTATTTTCTTTTGCCTATGCAGACCTCTTTCCTGAAATGCCCTTCCTTAAGCTTGACCTCACCAGCTCATTCTGATCTCTTCTCTTTTCTCATCCCTAGCACACAGAAGGTGCTCAGCCAATACTTACTGGATTGAATTAAGGATGGACAGTTCTCTACCTCTATTTTCATGAAAGGTTTGCTCAGGAAAGGAGTGGGGAGAAAAAGCAGATCAACTACTGAGAGGGGAGAAAAGCCTTCCAGGCCAGGGAGGCTAGACATAGGGAAGAGAACACTGGTGGGGACTGACCAAGCCCCCAACCCAGGGGTAGGCAGGGAAGTCTGTTTGAGTGAAGATAAGATAGCGGCCATCCTGTCTTTTGGGGCTCAACAGCCAACCCAAGGAACAAAGGGAGAGGGCAAAAAAACCTGTCCTTACTGAAGGAGGGAAGCACCATTCTTTAGGCTGAGGAGCAGGGTGACCTTTCTAGAGGGACCGGAGGATACAGTGATAAGGATGGAGTGGCCAACCCATGAACCCCATCGGAAGGGGCTACTAGAGATATGATTGGTCATTTCTGGAATCTATGGAGATGGAGTAGAAATCCACTGGGGCCAAGGGGGAAAAGGATGCCATCATAGAAGGCTCAATAGGGTAGGAGCAGCCCTACTTTTGCGAAGGGGAAGGAGTGCCATTCCAGGGCCCATGGGTAAGGGTGCCCTGTCTCCTGTTGAAGTGGGAAGGGGCAGCCAACTCTCAGGGCTAAAAGGATGGAGAGGCCATCCCAGGAAGCCACTGGGGACAAAAGCTGTTCTCTCTCTCTCAACAATGGCGGCAGAGTGGTCTTGCTTCACGCTAAGAAGGGGCAAACATCCCATGGGGCCAAGGAGGTAGGGGAGGCCATTACTAGGGGCCAAAGGAGTGGGGAGCAGGCTTGTCTTTGGTGAAAGAACTCAGCGACCATAAGTTGATGGGAGGGGCCAGTCTGTCTCCCACCGCGAGGGAGGGGACAGCCGTCTCTAGAGGCGGAGAGAGCGGAGCATCATCCTAAGGGGCGAATGGGGATAAGATCGGTTACCCTTGGGGACGATGGGAGGATGGAACAGACATCTTCCAGAGCTGAGGGGGAGGGGCGGCCATTTCAAGAGAAGCTGAGTAGGCAGAGGCCCTGTCTTCGCTGAGGTGACAGCGCAGCCATCCCCAGGGGTCGATGGGGAAGAAGAGGATGGTCCCCCAAACTAAGGGGATGGAGTGGCCCAGAGGTGGGGCCGTTACCCATAGCTTTCAGGTCCTGGGGTTCCTCTGGCAGGTCGTTTCTGCCTGACAGTGGGGACCGGGCGAACAGTCTGACAGCCCCTCCCCACAGCCCAGGACCCTTAGGGCGGAGCCTGTCGCGAGCTGGGCCTGAGGGCAGCCTCCTCTCACCTCCTGCGGTAGCGACTCCGCCATCACATCCCTGCCGCCTCCGCCCCCGCGCAAGTCTTACTGGGAAATACAGTCCCATTGACTCTGGGGGCGGGTCTAGGGGAGGAAGTGGACCAACCTCTTTCGTCCGGGTTGCTAACGATTTGGGTATGCGCCGGAAGTGCCTGTGCTGCCGATGTGGTATCCTCCCTGCGGTTTCGTTTGCTCTCCCTAGTTCCCCCGGCTGGGTATTTGCGTCGCACCATGGCGGTAAGGAGGGCGCCGAGAGCGGGGTCCTCATGGGCAAAGCATCCCCGGGGCCGGGAGACTGAAAACAGCGGAAGGGCATTAAGAGTAGCGGGTCGGTCAAAGGGGGGCGCCATTTAGTGGCTGGAACGTACTAAAGCGAGGCGGGTGGAATGGAGCGGCCCAGGACCATACCAAAACTGGTGCAGATGTGGGTGTGGGCGTCAGTATCAGATAGTACCAGAGCTGGCCAGAGAGCTGAGGGCCCTAACGGGGGTGGGCGTCAGCCGAGATCTGGACTACCCCTACAGGGGCCACAGAGGGGCACCATTCAATGCCACTCAGGAGTCCCCCTTGAAGAGGCCGTCAACCCAAAGCTGGACCTTACCAGGGGAGTCAGGTGATATCAGCTTAGTGTTGGATTGTTCCAGGGCGTGCAGGAGGCGATCATAGCTGGGGGTGTTGGAAAGATGGTGGTCAGCCCTAAGCAAGATGAACTGGAAGAGAGCTGGACATTCCAAGGATTGTGCTAGGTTTGAGCACCATGGGGACCTGGCTGATGTTCAGATGGAACTCTAGCTAATCAGACTGGTGGGGAGGGTGAGGAGTACCTGCTGAGGAGGGCTCTGACAGCATCTCATCATTTCTCTGCAGCCCAAGGGCAAAGTGGGGACGAGAGGGAAGAAGCAGATATTTGAAGAGAACAGAGAGACCTTGAAGTTCTACCTACGGATCATACTCGGGGCCAATGTAAGTGCCTGCCTCCTTGCTTCTGTGCCCACCCAAGCCCCACAGTCCTCATCTCTGTTTGGTGGTGGCGTTGGTGGTATGTGACAGCCAAGACTCCAGAAGAAAACTCCAATTAAAAAGAAATGAGAAAGGATCCTGGCACAGAGAAAATGCTTAGTCAAAACCAAACCAAACCAAACCAAAATGAGGATGTGAATTTCAGATGGACTTGAGAGCCCTTTCCATCCCAAATACAGAGATTTCTTTCCTATACTGACATATCAGAGGGGAGTCTGGGTACTCAGGGTTTGGGGAGCAGACCCCTTCTTCCCCCACCCTGTAAAAAAACAACCTGTCTCCTTCCACAGCCTGGCCTAACTCTTGGTCAGAGTTGAGGGAGGCCAGTGGTTTAAGGCAGCTTTTGATCCCAGCCTGATCCTGTGTCTGCTTGCAGGCCATTTACTGTCTTGTGACCTTGGTCTTCTTCTATTCATCTGCCTCATTTTGGGCCTGGGTAAGTATCCCCTATCTTGGGAAGTGGGTGAGCACATAAGGTCAGTGGCTGTCCTTTGATACCCCCATTCTTGTTCTGCAGATGGCCCTGGGCTTTAGTCTGACAGTATATGGGGCCAGCTACCACTCTATGAGCTCAATGGCACGGGCAGCCTTCTCTGAGGATGGGGCCCTGATGGATGGTGGAATGGACCTCAACATGGAGCAGGGCATGGCAGAGTGAGTGTCCCCCACCGCCAGCCCAGGTGAGCGGCCCCAGGGCTGGGGTGCTGGGGCCCAGATAGCCCAAGACCCACAGCTGCCTACCGAACTTGAAGAGGGTGGAAGGGAGCTGAGTTGGGGCCCATCTACTATTTTTGGCCCTTGCAGTCTCCCTTCTATCCACAGGCACCTTAAGGATGTGATCCTGCTGACAGCCATCGTGCAGGTGCTCAGCTGCTTCTCCCTCTACATCTGGTCCTTCTGGCTCTTGGTGCGTGGCCTGTTGGGCTCCCAAGAAGGGGCTGGGGCATCTAACCCATCTCTTCTTTCATTTCCTGTACCTGGTTCAAGTTACCTTTTCTCTCCTAGGCTCCAGGCCGGGCCCTTTACCTCCTGTGGGTGAATGTGCTGGGCCCTTGGTTCACAGCAGACAGTGGTGCTCCAGCGCCAGAGCACAATGAGAAAAGGCAGCGCCGACAGGAACGGCGGCAGATGAAACGGTTATAGCCACTGACATGGTGACCACAGGCTACTGGGTGGCTCTATCAGGGCTGCATGGCCCCATGCCAGGAGCAATGAGGGCCTAGTCCAGACGCCAAAAGCAGTCTAAGGTGTAGGATTGTTGAATAAATGGCTTAGAATGTGGCTAATGGCTGTGTGGGTGATGATGAGGCACGAGGCAGGAAGAACCACTCTTTTGCTGTTTCCCTTCTGCTATAGACCCAGCGTGGTCTATACCTTAAAAGAAGAAAAAGACCCTTGGATTGGCTAAGAAAACTTTATTATGCTCCATGTGTTCAGGGAGCTCATACATGCACATACAGACACACACACACTCACATGCACACACAGCTAATACTGTTCAAGGCACTGGCCACTGGGCACAGTGTGACCCCAGAGTTGAGAAGATGCCCAGAATTCTGCTGTGGTCCCTCCTCACTCTACAGTCTCTTGCATGCAGGCTGGGGCCCAGATAGGTATCCTGGAGGCAGCACCTTCATACCTCCAGGCCAGGACCCTTGCTCAGTCCTAGTGCCTGCACCAGGTCTTCTCCGAGCCCGCTCTTCAAGGTCCGTCTCACTGTAGGGACAGAGCAGGGTTGGAGGGGGTTGATGTGGATAAGGCTGGCAGTGGGCATATGGGGAGTACTCACAAGATTTGCGGTTGCCACGGGAACGCTTGCGTTCCCGAGCAGCTAAGGCACGAGGACTGCTCTTGGTCACTGACTGCACGAGTAGGTCCATGATTTCATCTGAAGTGTCACTGGGTAAACTGGAACCTGGGGCTTCTTCTGGGGTTGAAGTGGAGGGCCCCACTGCTGTGGGCATGACTGGGGAGCTGCTCTGGACCAGGCCTGAAGGAGGCCAGATAGGGAGGTCAGGCCAAGGTGTCCCCAAAGCAAAGCCCATTGTCCTCAGCGGCCACAGGTCCCACCTCTGCTGCGGCGGCCATGCGTGGTGTCCTCCGGCTTGCTGGTCAGCAGACTCTTCATGCTGGCGTGATTATCTGCATCACCCTGGCCTGGCCCACTACCCACAGCCACTGGAACAGATGGGTTGCTGGGGGCTTCCCCAGCCACACCTGAGAACTTCTCTGTCTGGAGAGGGGAAAAGGGTGAGCTGGGGACCGGGGAAGGAAACTATGGAGGTGGCAGTCAAAACCTGGAAGGGACACCCACCTCAGTGATCATGCGTCCCCGCGTCTTGTTGCGCTCACGGTATGTGGCCCGCTTCTGCTGCTGCTGCAGCACCCGTTCCCGGCAAGTCCGGTACTCCAGTGCAAACTCCCGCAGGATGTGGCAGAACTGCATGATGCGTACTTCACGGGCTGCCTGTGCTGTGTACCCCAGGTATAGCAGGAAGGCATGGAACCTAGGCAGGTTGAGATAGGAAGAGATGGTGAGTCGTGCTTGGGGGTGAGGAATAGTGGTGGTGGTCCTGCCTCTCTGGCTCATGGCCCTACCTGTTGCAGACACGGCGGTGCACTACCCTCAGCATGGTAACGCGGCGGGCACACTGGGCCAGGAAGTGAGTGAGGCGTGCACGCAGGGCTGGGGCCAGCTCATGCTTAGCCAAGCTCCGCAGACTCTCCTCAGCTGCCCGGCTCCGGCGCTCCAGCTGCCCCAGGTTCTCAGTCAGCTGCTCAAAGTCCACCTAGAAAAGCAGGGATACACAGGCTGTCCCCTCACAGGAAGGTACCACCTAAAGCTGCCTGTGCCACACTGCTCAGCCTGGGCCATAGGGACACAGATGAGATGTGGCCCCTTCCCTCCAAAAGTTCACAGTCTAATGCAGGAGATAGACAAGTCCATTTGATCCAATGGGGAACAGAGAAGGTTTCTTGGGAGAAGTGGCAGCTAATTTGAGACCCAAAAGCTGAGTAGGTGTAGACAGGCTAATAGAGGAAAGCATTTCTGGCAGAGGACACAGCCCACACAAAACACCTGTAGCTGAGCAAGCCCTGGCACAGCAGCTGAAATAGGGAGGAGAAAAGCCAGCCCCAGAAAGTAACACTCCCTCATGCAATGGCCAGTCTTAGTCAATCCTCTGGCTGGTGCTAACCTTGGCACAGCGGGTCAGAGCAGGGATTTCTGAGTAGAGGTCGGAAGAATCAGGCCGGGTCTGGAGCACCAAGGAGCAGAGATGGTGCAGCAGTGACTGCCGGCGTACTGTGTCCTTCACCTCTGACACCTTCTCCAGGTAGCTTAGCTCAAAGCCACTGCTCTGAAATGACCTCATCTGAGCCTGGGCCTGGCTGGCTGCAGAGCTCTGGCCCCCAGCCCTCATGTGCTGTCACTCACCTGGGAGCCATTGAGGAAGTTGCCCACAGCCAGCAGGGTGGCCAAGATGCAGCGGAAGGTGGCATTTTGTACCAGCTGTTCCATGCCCACTTTCAGGTCAAACAGTGGCTCTGCAATTTCCTAGTGTGTGAAGCCAGGGACTCTCAGACTACATGGTCATCATGCTTACCTGCCCCCAATGCCTGTCCCATCCCATGATCCAGGTACCCGCTCCATGCTGTCATAGTCCAGTTTGAAGGCCCAGAGTTGTAGGCGGGCAGCCAGGCCCCCGATGGAGGCAAGAGTCATCAGGAAATTCTCAGCTGGGCCCAGAGGTATGTCAGGATTGGCCAGCTGGGCCTCCTCAATCTTCTGCCGCTCCTCCTCCGTGGGCATCATGGTCAGTAGCTTCTGAGGGTGCAGCCACCACCCCACATAGGCCACTCAGTGCTGGCCTGAGGCCTCGGGTTTTGGTTTTGATTCCTCCCTAGGTGATGTGGGGAACCCCAGGGTCTGGGGACTGTTCTGTAGACATGCCACGCCCATGCCCACCACTGGAGGGACAGGAAAGGTCCACTGACTAAAGGAGAGGGCCGGACTTCCCACCTCCCTTCCATACCCCACAGCTGGGTATCCCTACCTCAATGCCATCCTTGCTGACAGCAAACTCATCAAAGTTGAGCAAGGCAGCCTTAATGACATGCACAGGTGGCAGTGTGGTTAGGCCAATGTTGATAGCGTTGCTGCGCTTGGGGTCCAGCACTGTGGTCATTGTCCGGCGGCCCTCACCAGCTTTCTTTGAGGTTGGGGGAGGGGCAGTGTAAGATTGGAAAAGGGAGCAACAATCTAAAAGAGCACTTCAAGGCCCTCCTCTAAATGGCCAAAGGTGGGGTCACCCACAACTGGAGAGCTGGGATGTGTAAGGATTAACTTAGATGCTAGTTAGGGCTCTGCTGACACTTTCTTGAGAAACCTCAGACAAGTCCCTCCTTTTTTCTTTGCCTTGGTTTCTCCATGTGGGAAATGAGTAGCAGCCCCAGCAGTTCAGACCCTTGAGCTTGGATTCTCTCCCCTCTCCACTGGGGTTACCTTGCAGATGAAGGTGTATTTACCTTGGAAGGCAGCACATCCTTGGCACGGGACTCGAACAGGTGTTCCAGCCGGGCTGTGTCCACCAAGACAGGCTCCAGTGAGGCCCACAGGGTGGAGCTGGACCCAAAGCGGCTCCCAGAGCCTCCATGGCTCCCAGCTAGCTTTAGCTCCCGCCAGAAGAGTTTTACTGTCTTCCTCTTGGTGGGGAGGGCTTGGCCATCAGGCGCTATGGTGGGAAGAGGGGCAGCTGGGGGTGGAGGTGGTGGGAAAGGGCCTTTGATCGGTGGGGGAGGTAGGGGAGGAGGAGGTGGGGGACCTCCAGAGAGCAGGGGCAGTGGGGGTGGGGGTGGGACCCCTTTTGTGGCTTCCACAGACTCCATGTTCAGCATGTCCTGGTCTTCATCCTCCCCCAGATCTGAGAAGTCCAGGTCCCCAATGCAGAGCTTGGTGACACGGGTAGGGAGTTCCTGGGTGGGCTCAGCCTTGGGGCTCGGTGGGGCCAGTGGCTCCTTGGGCTCTGGCTCAAGGCTCCGTTGGGCCCGGAGCAGGACTCGGGGGGTAGGGCTCTGGGGTGTTCTGGGTGCAGGGACTGGTTCAGGGGATCCCCATAGTTCCCGGGTGTCTAGAAAAAGGGAATCAGCCGTCAGCGTCATGCCCTTTGTGGAACAACTGGGCAACATGGGTAGATTCTGCCCACCCACCAACTTACTTGGATGCCCATCAGCCTCATCGGGCATGGCCTCAGCCAATGTCTCTGCCCGGCCCTGGGCCAGCGCAGCCTGCTTCTCTGTTTCTGCTGCTGCCACATTCTCTAGGAACCGGGCTCTGGAGGGAGGAACTTGTCAGTGAGGACATCTGACACACCCCAGCCCAGGGTGGTGCACATGCCTTGCTGGGCCCCTGGGCACTGCCCCTAATTGAAGGCACACACAGACACACAGGAACAGTCCATGCGCTGAGCAGACCCAGGGCCAGCCCCTGTTCAATCCTCCACATCTGAGGAGGATCACTACCAACCCAGCATTCGCAAGTCGACATACAGAAAGAAGCTCTACTTAATGTCTAACTTGCAACCTTGCTGCTGTTCATGTTCATTGTCCTGATTCTAGACAAGGACCCTTAGAGCAGGGGGAGGGGATAGCTGTCCCAACGGGCACACCAGACTGTCCCTCCCATTGCATGTCTGCAGCTTCTGAAAGCTATTAACCTATGCCCAGAAAAGGGCCTGGCAAATGACAGGCACTCAGTTTACAATGAAGTAATGAATGTGATCCAGTGCCTCTTTTTTGGCCCCTCCAGCTTCTACTGGATCTCCATCCTTGTCCTTCCCTTAGCCCTAGGTTGCTACTCCACGTCCACACCACACAGCACCTTAGATCCTCTCCCTACCCGACTCCTGGCCTGAGGACATGGGAGAATGGGCTCCAGGTTGGGAGTCCATTTCCTCATCTCTGGTCAAAGCTATTAAGGTGTCACTATTGAAACACAGGGACCATTATGATCTCAGTGAACTAATCCCAGTGCTTAGTCCTTAGTCCTTAACTGAGGACGCATGTCTGGGAGAGAAGGGCCCCAGGTTTGGCTGCATCAGGCAAGTGGAACCCCCGCTGGGGGAAGCAATGCTGAAGCCCTGAGCACATGGCAGGCGGGGCAGGCTGGCCTCTGTACTTACTCTAGCCTGGCCTGCCCAGTAGGGGACGGGGGGACAGGTGGGCTCTCAGGGGCCCTGGGTGGTGGGGGGGGGACAAAAGAAGAGATGGTAATTGTGGTGCCTGTTCCACCCCAAAGCCCAGTTGCTCAAACCAACACAGAGCTGGGTGGTGCTATCAGGGGTTCCTTCCCAGCCACAGTGGGAAGAAGAGGGGGCTGGGGGAGGCATAACAAGAGGAAACTAAGCGGAGTGGAGAGACTGATCAAGCAGGACAGGGTGCAGTAAGAGACTGACAGAGCAGAACAAGAGTCAGTGACAGAGAAATAGAAAGACAATCTGGGGTAGGGAGACTGATGATGTTGGTCAGACAGGCAGAGTGCCAGAAAGAGATTGAAGAGAAGCCTCAGGGGGAGGAGGTCCAGTCAGAGCCGAACCCCACCCCTCTCCAGCAGTCACTTACCAAACAGGAGCAGTTTGGTGAAGTCTGGAAAAAGAGAGAAAGTGCGCGTTTGGGCAGAGGAGGCAGAGGGTCCGTGAAGGGGCGCAGAGTGGAGGGACAGGTGGAGAGAGGGCTCCGGGGGTGGCCTCTATCTCCCTACTTACTTGTAGATGCTCCTCTCGGAGGAGCTGTCGACTGAGGGTGCCACAGAGATGGTAGGGAAGAGGTTCACCGAGGTATGGAAGCCAGAGGCAGGGCCCACAGGGCTGGAGGCAGGGCCTGTTGGTGGGGCGGGGCCTGTGGGGCTGGAGGCGGGGTCTGTCAGGAGACAGGGCTACTCTTGGGCCATCCATCCCTCTCCATCTGCTGGGGCACATTCTTACCCAGCCTCCGTGGCGTGCACTGGGTAGCCCCCGCTTTCTAGAGATCGGCGGCTCCTCTTGCCCTCCTCTGAAGAAGGCTTTCTGCGCTCCCTCCGACCACCTGTGGCGGCTTCCTCGATGTCTCCATCCTCCAACCGCAGGGCACTCTAGCAGAGGTGAGCCCAGATGTGAGAGGCTGAGGTAGTGTGGGGCGCTGGGGAACAGGGCTTCCTCCCTCCCCTCCTCTCACCCTCAGTTAGGCCCTGGCAGCCCAGCCCACCTCATAGAGCACAAGCTGCGCTCGCAGGTCAACATCAGTGCCCGCAGTGCCCAAGTGGCGCTGGACCAGTGCCTCCATGCCCTGCTGCTCCAGTGCATCAGTCACGTCATAGAAGGAGTCCTGGTCTGGGAGCGCTGCCAGCGTCTAGAGGGTGGGGATAGGAGGGCAAGGCTAAGGCTGATGGGGACGGGAAGTCAGGAGTCAGGGGGCCAGAATTGGCACTTGGTTCTCCCCTCCTACCACCCCCCACCCAACACACACACACCTTGTTGATGAGAGTGACTGTGTACACTAATAACTCAGGGTCTGTGCCATTCTTCTCCTCCAGGATGGATACCAGATTGGCCCATGGAAGAGCACCTGATACACAGAAGGGGGAGCAGTCATGCAGGGACAGGTAGGAGAGAGGGCTCTGAATGGTGGGGGAGGGAGTGACAGTGTCTGACCGGTGTTACTGGCCACAGAGTTGACTGCATAGATGAACAGCGGTGCGTTGCTCTCAGAGTATTCCACAAACACCAGCAGCAGCTTCAGGGTTGTCTTCACCACCAAGCGGGACTAGGAGGGAAGGGTCACCACATGTAAATGGGGCTTGGGCCAGACCTGTGCTAGTTCCTGGTGTGGTGGAAGAAGGGCTCCTGGGGCTGGACTGAGAAAGGGCAGTCTAGGCAGAAAGACACTGGCTCCAGACCCAGGCATTGAAGTGCCTACTCGGCTTACGGGTGCCACAACTCACTCCATTCTAGCCCACTTTGCAGAAGAGGATACTGAGGCCCAGAGAGAGGCACTGGGAAAAGGGCGCATGACTGGGTGGCGGGCCACTTACCAGGCTGGCACACAATGTGTACAGCCACTGCACAGTCTCACTGTGGGCCACCACCCCCAGCATCCCGTCCACAAAAAGCATCAGCTGGCCTAGTGCTGGGGACATAGGAACAAGGAAAGGTCAGTAAGGGGTCATTGAAGGCAAGGGTCATGGGGGAGGGGTGTAGCTGACCTCTGAGGATGTAGCTCTGGTAGTTGTGGTCAGCAGCAGCACCCACACGGATCAGGCAACTTAGGCCCTCTGAGTGCACAAATTCAGGCACCAGGTCCTTGTCCTCCTGGGAGCACCATGGGGGAGTTTAGGAGGGCTCAGGCTGGATACCCACCCCCCAGCCCACCTCTGGGCCTCACCTGGAAGATCTGCTTTAGTGAAAAGAGGGAGCGGCGGAGCTCAGGGCCACTGGAGCCATACAACTTTTCTGCAAGGGGTAGATGGGCATGGTAACCTCAAGGGAACACTGATACCCTCTTCTATTGGGACATAACCACAAACCCCCACCAAAGAATATTCTAGTAGTCTTGGACATCCCACCTCCTCCTCCACTCCCTGACTTGGGGCAACCCCCACCACAGTCTAGCTGCCATCAGCCCTGACCCTGGAAGGAGAGTTCAAGATAGGAATGGGGAGGGGCCGCATAGCCTGTCTCTGATTTGCCCTGTCCACTGTCTAGTACAGGCCTGAAAAAAATTGAGCCATCTGGGCTAGGGTGGGGGGTGCTGGACATTGATGCCCTTATATACTAACCTAAGATGGCATTGACCCTCACGGAGAGCTGGGTCCGCAGGATCAACGTAGGCTTCCGCCCTTTGCTGGAATCAAGCAGCCTAGTCAGCAGCTCCCAGCCCATTCCTTGGGGTTCCCTCCCCCCACGCCAAGGCAGCCAAAGACTTCCCCACATGCCAACCCTGGCCCAGCGCCCTCCTCCCCAGCTGTTCCCCCAAGCCCAAGGATTGGCCAGACAGGAGGGTTTGTGCAAACTCAGGTATCTCAGGTATGTGGGAGAGCCCCCCACTCCCAACCTGGGCAGCAGGTAACACTGGCCAAGCCTTGGGATTCCCCTGGCATAGTTCCCTGGGGCAGCAGGAGGTGACCCACAGCCCAGACTAGAGATCAAGTATTTTGGCTGCTGATACCTAAGCCAGCACCTCATGGGGCAAGGGTGGGGCCAGCCTTGCCTTCCTAGCCTCATCTTCTCTTACCTGATCTCTTCATAGAAGCCCTCCAGCATCTCCCGCTGCTCTTCCAGGGATAGCTCGGGGTCCAGATAGTATCCAGAGGGAGACACTTGCAGGGCACAGTCCTCTAGCTGGTGGCAAAGGGAACAGTTGTCAGGGCTGGTGAAGAGGTGGCAGGCTTATGTATGAAGACCCTGGGACCTCCCATCACCTACTTAGGGTGCTGGCTGAGAGGCATACCACAGGGTCTGCACTGCAGCCAGACATTTCTTCAGCAGCCATTTCTCATGCGCCTACTATGTGTAAAGCCCATCCTTCTCAGGTGCCAGGCTTTCTTGCCCTTTGTATGTGCTATGTCTTCTGCTGGCTAACACATACTCATTCTTTAGGTTTTGTATTAGGTAATGCTTTTTTGCAAAGCCTTCCTGAAGGGACTCCTCTAGCCAATGCTATGCAATCTACTCCACCCCGTGTGTGTACCCCACTCTGAGGTCTTCCCCACAGCATTATAATATCCTAGATACTAGTCTTCTTCCCTGTAACTGTGTGTTCTCTGGATTCAGACATCATGTCTCTCTTGCTGTATGCCATATCTGCAGAGCCTAGCACAGCATTTGGCACATAGCAAGTGCTCACTAACCATTTGTTGAGCTAATGAACACAAATGAGGAAGGGGAATGGCAAAAAGATGGAACTTCTGCCTTTGAGGAAGTTCACAGCCCTGTGGGGTGATAAGCTGCAGCCACAAAGCATTTAAGCCCAGGGAGAAAGTGTTAAGAATGCTGGGAGGTGTAAACCCAGCTGGGAGGGGTGTTTGAGTCTCCAAATTAAGACAGTGAGGAGCAGGGGCTAATCCACAGTCTCCCAGTCCCTCCAGGCCTGAGGGTCTTTGCCCTGCCCCCAAGTGGGCTACAGTTACTGTGGTTGTAACTGGACCTCAGAGGCCTCCAGGGGCCTATTAAAAACCAGATTTTTAGGGTCTGACTCAGTCAGTCTACATTGGGTCTCTGAAACCTGCATTTAACAAGAAGGCACATGTCCCATCCATGTGTCTGCTTTCCATGTCTCTCCCCACTGAGCCTGGCTCCCTTCCACCACTGGGCACTTGGCCCCTTGAGAAGTACCTGTAGAAAGGCCTAGTGAGGTGGCTGCGGAGCGTCTGAGGGCAATATCGTGCCTCTTCTGGACACCTCCCCCATAGCAAAGTTCCCTTGACTTGAGTGGCTCAGGGAGAGCCCCTCTGAAGGGTCACGATGCCTCTTGGTCTCTATCTAACCAGGAAAGTCAACCCCAACATTTGTCCTGTTGTTCAGTCAGCCCTACCTTGCTCTGGACCCAGCCCAAGGACTTCCAGCTGCCCTTGGTCCCCTGGGGGGAAAGGGAGTCCAGCCCCTGCCCCCACGCCTGCCTCTGCTTAGCACCTGTTATGTACCCCTGCTATGCCTGAGAGCCTGACGCAGCTCCTTCCTGGCAGTTCAGTCTGTGAGGCCCTTGGGTGACCACCTCCCCCACTGCCTGGGACATGGGACATAGGACAAACACTCCAGCCTGTTTTCTGTCCTACTTCCTGTCTGGCTGCCTGCCCTCCACCCTGGGCGCCTTGGGCGGGCCTGGCCTCTCTCCCTCCCTGGGATCAGAGTCATCTTCTCCAAAGCCTACTGGGACTAGGCCTCAGATGGGGCAGCAAGGCCCCAGGGCTGGGGTATTTAGTCCAGGGCCAGCTCAACTGAGTGCAGCCCCACATTCCGCCTGATCCCTCTTCCCGTGGGATGACTCAGTAGCCCACCCACCCCACCCCCATCCAGGCACAGCTGCATCTCCTTTCACCTTGGACTGGAGGATTCTGGGACCCGAAAGAAATGTATCTCCCGCAGAGCCACAATACCCCTTAGTGATCGCCAAAGCACACATATTTAGAACAGCTTAATCATTCAAACATTCACAAACTGGGCTGGTTTTAGGTGCTGAGGACATAACAGGGAACAAGACACTGCCTCTGCCTTCCCTGCCTTCCAATCCAGTGGGGGAGACAGGTAGGCTTGACTCAGAAAAAGGCCACAAATAAATGCAGAATAAAAACACAATGGCCAAGGGTGCTAAGAAAGGGGAGGGGCGGAGTGCCGTAAAGGTAAACACTGGAGGGATGATCAGATTATATGTGGTAACTGCTTACATGCCCAGTTATATGGTCAGGTTAAACTCATATACACAAATGCTCACTGGCCATGCACAGCCCCAGGAAGCACACCCACAGAAAGATGGGGCCCAGCACACTGTCTTCCCCTCCTGCACACACACTTCCATGCTCTAGTCCCAAGTGAGCAGAAAATGGCCCTCTCCTTCCAGGATATCTGCATCCATGTGCTCAACCATCAAGACTGTGCTCTATCATCCCCAGGCTCCTCAGATGAGCAAGCTTAAACCCTTTCCCTCTGTGGTAGTAGCAGTGGCTTCCCTATCTCACCTGTCCAATCCTGCCAGGACCCCATTTCTGGGGAGGAGCTCCAGGGGTAATAGACAGCCCAAAGCCTGCAGGACGGTGTCCCCCTCCTCCCCCTCCTCCGGCTGTCTGTCCTGGGTGGAGATGCGTGGGCGTGGGGTGGGGGTGGGCTAGGGTCAGGCAAACAGCAAAGAGGGGAGACTTCCTGCCAGCTGGGTGGTGATTGTCCCTCACACCACTGGTCCCTTCCTGGGGTCACTCTTCTGAGACCCAAACCTCTGGGCCTTGTTTCTCACACCTTGGGGCTGGGCCAGACCCGAGTAGGCCCAAACCCTGGTCCCTGCTCACAGTGCTTAGAATCAGCACAGGGTCAGTACAGGCTTACATCCTTGACTCCCTCCTGGCTCTTGTCTTCCACACTTCTCTGCTGTCTGTCTTGGAGTCCCTCCCCCATTCTTCCCAGGCTCAGCCCCTTATTTCAGTCTCCAGCCCATTTTTCTTTTGATTCTTTGGGCTCAGGTTTTTCTGGCAGCTTAAACCAACTTGTTATATGTGGTTTAATATGCAGGGCCAAGCTTAGGGGACCCTGGTGTCTACGTCCCAATATTTTTCATAGCAGTGTAATCAGGTGAGAATGAACATGCCAGGGTCAGGGTACAAGGAAGATGGTGAAGAAGGCAGTATTATATGATGAAATGCTCTTGTTTCAGGAAATAATTTGTTAATGGCCTTTTCTTTCCTACAAACACAAGACCCTGTGCTCTGATGATTCTTTTTTTCTATTATCTTGGGTCTCCAACTAGTCCGTGACTTCCTGGATGAGAGGACATGTATGGCCTCAAAGAGAGAAACCCACATTTATTATGCCTCCTGTGTTGCACACTGGGCTGCCTAGTTTATTTGATTCTCCTAATAATCCTTTCACAGGTGAGAAAACCAAGGCTCAGAAATTCAGTGCATTTGCCCCAGACTACACAACCAGGAATGGAACCAGGGCTAACTCACCTAGATTTTGGGCAGATGGACTTTGAAAGTGCTCCAGGGAACCCTGGAGGGGAGGTGGTGGAGTGAGGGCTGGGGCTTTTAGGGTTGCCGAGAGCTGGTGACTGCCCCTCAGCTTTCTGGACTCTGCAAATACCTTAAACTAGTCTTCCCAGTTCCAGCAAAGGAATGCTAATGAACACACACACATCATACATATTGGGGTAACAGTGCCTACTTCTGCCAGGACCTAGGTCCTGGGGTCCCTCACTAGGCTGCAGCCCAGGCTCCCTAGCCCAGAATGACTAGCAAATTGGACATGCCAGCCCTAGGAAAAGCTGAGAGGAAGCCATGACTCATGCCCACATCCCAATCTTATACATTCTCCCTAAGAAACCTCCATATCAGGGAACAAAAGGGCTCAGTTCATCACCACATCTTATATCCTTGAGAATCCTCTGGAACCTCTCCAGTTGGTCTCTGTCCCAGCAGGTCACGTTCATACTTTAGCCCCCCTACCACAACTGCTTTTGAGGGGTAAACAGGCTAGACCAGGGAGGGGGGCAAGGTCAGGAAACATTCCAGGATAATGCCACCCCTGTCCACTCTAATCTTTAGCCATAGCTGAGGAAACAAATTTGCTGATAAGGAACATATTTCTTTTTTCTTTTAAATTTTATTTATATATTTTATTAGTTTCAGGTTATAATGAACAGATTTCTAGGTCTATCTCTGCTGTTAGTAGGGGGCTCCCTCTGGCCTTTGCCTCAGGGTCAGAGCAGCACCCAGGTCCTTCTGCCTAGAGCCCAGGGAGAAGTCAGTGCTATCCCAGATGTGGCAGGGCCTTTGGGTGTTAGGGAGGGGCTCCTAAGGCACCACCCAGAAGGGAAAATGGTAGTAGGGCAGCGGGACTCTGCAGCTCTGGGTAAAGAGATGAGACAAAGGGCCAGAGGGCCAGGTTCTCCCCTGGGGCAGGGGCATGTCCCTGAGCTGGGAGAGGCTCTTGCTTGGAGGGAAGACAGATATTTCTGAATTCCCCTGGGGAATGGCCCAGGGCACTGTCAGGACCCCTGCCCCCTAAGAGCCAGGAGATGAGTCAGAGGCTGTGGCCAGGAGCTTCCTCCTGGACTGGGAGGAAATGAGCAAGGCCTTCTCAGATCTGAAAGTTTCAAGTAGTTTACAAAAGAAGAGGAACTGGAGAGGCTAAGCCTAGTCCAATGGGGTGTGTGGGGTGGAGCCCTAGAGAGAAAGTGGGCCTAGCCTCTTTACATCCCCAGGGAGGGGGTAGGGTCTGTAGGAATGATGGGGTCAGTGCACAGAGAGGGAGGGCAGACTCGGCTGTGTCCTGTTTCTCTGCTGGACAACTGTACAGAGGATGAAGCAGGGAGTAGAGAACTCCCTCTTTATTTCTGCTCTACAGCCCTGCACAGGGACACCTGGGTTTCTGGGCCACCTCTCCCCTCTAGAAGATGATCAAGGCAGGCCTGAGTCATGTCTGTATCTCTGGGTCACCCACTTATAGGACTAGGGGCAGAACCAGCTGTTGACATTTCTTGCAAAGAGAAGCCCTGCTCCCCGCTTCTTAGCTCTCTGATGTCCCTGCCCCTACCCTATTCTCAGCCCTTCTTCCTCCAGCCTTCTATTCTGGGGCTGTGGTCACAGTTTATATTTGGGATGAGCACATCACAGTGCATCTGACCATTGTTGGCAGAGCTGCCAGCCCCAGGGAGTCCTGGCTCCAGGCACTGTGGTAACCCAGTGTGTCCACCACCATATCCTGCCTGGAGCAGGGGTGAGGTGGGGGCGGGGGGGGGGTAAATATGGCAGTCCTCAGGTGCACCAGGTGGGAAATCCTGAAAGTGGGAAGACCAGGAAGGACTCACTGGGGGGTGGATTTAACATTATCTGAGTTCAGAAGTGTTCTCAGCTAGGAAGCAGAGAATAGAGGGCAGAGCACCTGGCAGGGTAGGGATATGGGTCCCTAAATGGAGGGGTGCTCTGAGTCTCTTTTCTGTAGCTGACCTCTCAAACCTGCCCCTAATTGGAAAGAGTGATGTCAGGGCTAAGTCCTGTCCTAGAGTGGGGAGGTGGGAGGAAGAATATGTTCTCTGTAGTGTGCTCCAGGCTTATTTCAGCACCAAGAGTTCCAGAAGCCTGGAGTCAGGAACCTGGCCTTAGTTCAGCACCCCTCTTTCCCCAGCGCCCATTCTGAATAGGAAGTGGCCTCGGGCTGGATGCGCTTTTTCCACGTCCACCTCAGTTTGCTCCTTTCAACAGGACAAGAAGGGGCTGCATCAAAATTCTGGAGTGGGCAAATGTGCTGCAACCTTCAAGTCGTGGCCTTGAAGCCCAGGCTCTGCCGGGACACGCGCCATTCCCCAGGCCAAGAGTCTCACCACCTCTCCCGCCCGCACTCGAAGGCGGGGCTGGCCTGCAGCACGAGGAATGCAGGCTTGGGGGCCCGGCGCCCGGGGCACATTCCAGGGGAGACCCCGGGCCTGGGGGGCAAGCTTGCGCAACTCTGCACTCAGCTAAGGCTGGGAGCAGGGGAGGGCACCCACACCAACTCTCTTTCCTCTTCCTCACTACTCGGTGCGGACTGGCTGGCGGAGAACCCTGGGGGGTGGTGGTGCGCTTCCCAGAGTCCTGGCCCGGAAACCCAAAGCGCCGGAAAGGGCTGCCTGCGGGGGACTGAGCGCCGAGAGCGGGAGGGGAGGTGAGGCCGGCCATCTGGAAAAGGGCCTTTCCCGGTACTGTGCATTAGTCGGCTCCGCGGCGCAGGCAAACCAGGGCAGACCGGCGGTTTAAAATTAGCCCGGCCCGCCCCCTGCCTTCCAGCCGCTGGCTCGCAGCGGCCCGAGTACGGGATAGTGGGGGCGGTGACTCAACGGGCTTTTCCACCAGTGCAGCCTCTCGCGCGCGGCGTGCCCCGGGCTGCTTCTAGAGGACTACTCTCACCCAGTGAAGTCTCTTCTTCACCGGCACTCCCAAGCTGGACCCCCACCTGCAGGGGCTGCACTCTATCTGCCAGGACCCAATCCAGACACCGCTCGACCTTAGCCACCTATAGAGGCCCGCCCCGGGTACGCCCCTCCTCGTAGTCCCGCCCCACCTCACCTGAAGCAGGTGGAAGCGGGTCCCTCCCCAGCTCTGTTTCCTGGGTCCGCTACCACCCACATATCTACCATCACCCTATCCAGAGCAGTTACCTAGGCAGAAAGGCAGCGAGTGGACCCCGGAGCACCTCCCCAGGTGGTCCTCACTTAAAGGGGCAGCCAGAGTGGTGCAGACCACAAGCTCCCATCTCCCTTCTTTAGTTTCCCTTCAACTTGAGAGGCATCCCTACTAGCAGGGCCGCGTGGACTTTGGTTCCAGCCCGACTTACCCAGAGGAGCGCACCCACTCCAGCCTCTCCACGAAGGGCACCTCCCAAAAGCTTTCATGGCGCCAACTCCGAGCCTCGATTACTCCCAACCTTTTCCGGCCCCCCTCACCTTGAGCGGCGCCCCCAGCAGGCGGTGCAGCGCGGGTATCTGTGCGCCCAGGGGCAGAGCCCCGTCCAGGCTGCAGGTGGGGGCCCGGCGCGGCTCCGGGAAGTTGGCACATGCGAAAGGGTCGCTGTCCTCTAGGTACTGCACCCGCACAGTTACCACTGATACCGGCTCCCCGTCACCGCTGTCTTCCCCGCCCGCCATGGCTCTGCTACTGGCTCGCGCGCTGCGCGCCTCCAGATGGGTCCCGGACCAGCCGCAGTCTCCTAAATCTACTGTCTGGGCCGGGCCGGACCGGACGCCGCTGAAGAGGGGCGGAGCCAGGCGGAGGCGGGGCCGGGGAGGGGTGGAGCCAAGAGTTCCCGAACGCGCGGGGGGCAACCACTGCCGGAGGCGGGGCTTGTCGCCAGCCACTCAGAGGGCGCGATCATGATCCCGTTAGTTCACTGGCTAGGCGGGCGGGAAAACCCGAGCTCGCGCCCCGCCTTGGAGAGCGCGCTGAGTGGCGGGTGGTTTACTTTGGGTGTGGAGTGGTGAGGATGAGCTCTCTATGAGGGGATGTTGAGGCAGGTAGGGCGGAAATTTCTTCAGATAGTGGCCGGCCAGGTCTCCCTCAGTTTAGGGACCAGGTGGTCCTGATCCCTTCAGTTTGAGGGTTGAAGTGGATGGCATTCCCTCATTTAGGGAAAGCAGGGAGATGGATCTCTTTCAGAGCAAAAAGTGAGAAGAGAGTCCACTCAGTTTGAAGGAAGAAGTGGGGTCATTTCCCTTTAGTTGGGTGGGGGGTAGGGAAGGACAGGTGCCCCTCAGTGCTGGGAAAAGGATGGGATGACTCAGTTTGAGGGGGAAGGTAGAACATGTTTTCCCTCCGTTTTGAGGAAGAAGTGGGGTGGGTGCCCCTCAGCTTGAAAGAGAAGTGGAGACGGTCCTCCTCAATTTGGGGCAAGATAAACCGAATACCCCTCAGGTTTTGAGAAAAAGTTGGGTGGATCCCTCTTAGTTTGAAGGAACTCGATAGGCTGGGCTTTCCATAGTTTAGGGAAAGATGCGGTCTCTTCACGTTCATGGAAAAGGTGAGAAGAGTTCCCTGCAGTTTGAGGGAAAGGGAGGCCGGTGCCCCTCGGCTTGGGAGCTAAAGAGAAACGGCCTCCTCTCAGCCTGTAATGAGCAGGGCCCAGCCTGGGCCTTGGAGTTTCTAGGGACATGGGGGGACAGCGCGGCTTTCTGGGAGCGCCCAGTGCGCGTGCGCAGTTCTGGTCTGGTCTGGTCTGGGGCCGGAAGGGGGTCCCAGGCCCGGCGGGGCCGCGTGAAAGGCGGTGGCGCGCTGCCCCCTACCGCCTGCGTGCGGCAGCGCCGTGGTCCTCGGCCTCCGTACCAGGGGGCGGCAGCTCGCTGCGAGAGGGCACTAGCCTTGGAGGAGACCCTCCCTCTAGATTCTGCCCACCCGCAGACCCCTGTCCGACCCGCGGCGCAGTGTCGCCTCCGGGGGGTTGGACGCGCGGACGCTCCTGGAGGGCTGTGGCTGCTCCCAGCTGTGAATACAGGTCGGGGGAGCTGACTGGAAAGAATCGGTTACGGGACTTGGGGGAGGGCTGCACTGGGGAATTTTCAGAGCTGAGACTGGTTTAGACGGGAGGAGCAGGGGGTCAGAGTGCAGACGCCTTGGGTAGGGTCTCGGAGCCCAGCCCTGGCTTGGGGGTATCGGAGCCGGGATTGTGGGGAGCGCGCCCCACGTGTCTGTGACGCGGGGGCAGCCGGTAGGCGGCGGCAGCGACACGGGGCCGGCGGCCGTGCGGGGCCGGGAGGGCGGCTAGGCAGAGGCAGAATGCTGCGCGTCGTACTGCCGCTGCTCGGGCTGCCCTTGGCGGGGGCGGCAACAACCAGAGAACCCACCCGGGAGCCGGGGTCTCTGGGCGAGCCTCCCCCAGGGTTGGCGCTCTTACGCTGGCAGTGGCACGAGGTGGAGGCTCCCTACCTGGTAGCCCTGTGGATCCTGGTGGCCAGCCTGGCCAAAATCGGTGAGTGCGTGTGTGCGAGCGCCGGCGGCCGGCAACGGACCTGTCCCCAACCCCTACTCCCTAGACCCGAGCTGGCTTCTTGCACAGTGCCGGCACTTAGGTTGCGATTCCACAATCCGGGCTCCTCACACAGTTCTTGCGCCGCCTCTTGTGGGTCTCCCTCCTCCCCTTCTCCTCGCATGGGATCTCTGAGGATTTGCCTTCTCCATGGGCTGCCCCAGCTCTCTCCGGCCTTATCCCTAGACCCCTTTGCCCTCTCTGCTCCCTCTCCCCCTTGCAGTAAGCCCTATCGTCTGACCTCTCCTCCACCTATCCCCAGCCTCCCAGAAACCTCTGTTAGCGGTGAGGACGTGTGGGGACATTGAGGGGAATGTGTTCGCTGGCAAACCCAGGCATCCTGGTCCTGAGGAATAGTCTTCTTTGGAGACCAGGTCCAAGTGTCCATTGCCTTGGGATACTAAACTGCCACTCTTCCTCTCCTTCTCCCTTTCCCCCGAAAGATGTCCCATTCTTGTGCCTAGCTATGGGACCCCCCCCTCCTCCAAAACCCCCAGTTCAGGTTTACAGTCTTCACACTTCCGGGTATTAGAAACTTCCATTTATTGGGATCTGACTATGTGGTGCCTGCACTAGATGCTTTCGTACACCTGACCTCCTTCAGTCTGCATAACGCTGAAGGTTGTGCTTCAGAATCCTTTCCTTGAATAGAGCTGCTTTTCCTTGCCTCAGCCCTGTCCTCCCTACTTCTGAGCAGCCAGTGGTTCCTCCTCCCACCAGAGACCCTCCTCCCTCTCCCTGTTGTGCAGGCTCTGCTGTGGGGGTGACTAATTATAGCTGAGCGTTGCTACTCACTCCCCATCTATGCTGGCACAGCCTGTACTCCAATCTCACCAATACAGTCTTCATGAAGGAATCACACAACCTAGAATTTCCCCCCCTCCTCCCCCAGGGACATTTCTTTGGGGAAAGGGGCTGGGCAGGAACTGGAGAACTCTCCACTCTGCTGTGGCAGCCGATTAATAATGGAAAATGGGGCTTGAAACGCCTTCAAGAAGCCTAATTCTGTCAGAAAACAGGCTTTGTTGATGGGTTTTGGATGGCTGGGGTTGATGCATGCTCTGGAGATGAGGATGGAATAGAGTCCCTGAAGGAAAGAAAATGGGGACCAAAGGTAGGGATGTGCGTGGGGAGATCTATGGCTAAACTTACCTTAGGCCTGGCAGCAATAAGAGTAAGATGGGGGGAGCCTCAGATTTGGGAACCAAGAATTGGGTTTGCTGAAAAGTCTGTGAGTTGCAGTAGAGTTCCTGTCTTATTTATGGTTTATAGCAGCTTTTGGAGTTTCCCCCATAAATCGTAGTGCTTTTCCTAGCTTGGATGACACTCCTCTGGAGGTAGGAGAAGACACCTTCCTTCTCATCAACCCCTCCCCCCCCCAAAAAAAATCCTTAAAAGAAGAAAGGTAGAATGTTTGGGATAACTTCCCTTAGCTTCATTACTGAGAGATTTTTCCCCTTTTACTCAGCAAATCTTTGTGTAGATCCCATTATGTGCCATACATTGTCCGAGGCCCTTTGGGAACAGCTTCCAAAGGGCAGTGTCTTGACTTTGGGTCTCACACAGGCTGACATAGAAGCCTCCCCACCTACCCACTACCCCAGGGATTGTATGGGAGAGGCGTTCACTCGTGGTCCCAGGGCCCAAGGGAAAGCCAAAAGAGCTTATTTTAGGGGGCAAAGGTAGAAGTGGCAATAGTGCTAGAAACCCATTTCATACTTCTCTTTTCTAGGGATGGATGTTATTATTTTCCCACAGAGTCATATTTAATTAGTATTTGTTGAGAACCTGCTATGTGTCCGACATCCTACTAGGCACATTTACACTATATCATTTTATCCTCACCCTGTGTGATGGGTATCTTTCCTATATTACAGAGGAAGAAATTGAAATTCAGGTAAATTAAATGACTCACCTAAGCTCACACAATTAGAAAGTGATAGAGAAGAATTGGAAATCTTTTGACTGCTAAACCCAATGCTTTGAACCTATATAATGAAAAGCACATTGGGCTAGCATAGTGCTCCTAGGAGGTATATAATATGCATTATGGTCTAGGTAGGGAGACAGGATACAATAATATAATAATAGATAACCTTTTTTTGAGCTCTTACTATAAAATACTGAGCTAAGTGCTTTTGAGTAGATTGTCTTATTTAAATCTCACAGCAGTCCTATGAGATCATTACTGTTTTTATTCCCATTTTGCCCTTGAGAAAACTGAAAGAGAGGTGAAGTTATTTGCTCCAAGGTCATAGAACCAGTAAATATGAGTATAGGAGCTAAGCTTTGAGCCCAGGCAGCCTGGCTCCAGAGGCCCTGACTTTTACAGCTATGTTATACATACGTGTAAAAGTATAGTGAGTAGCATATGCTGAGGTTGAAATAATGGCTATGAATAAGGGAAATCAGAGAAAGGTGAGGTCCCCTGAGGATGAGAGTAGAAAGTGAGGGGCATTTTTTGGAAATAGAAAAAGCAATCACTGGCCTAGGTTACCATGATAGGAGCACCAAGAAACAGACAACTTTGGCTGTAGTGGTGGATTTGTAGACTTTGAATAACCTTCTGAGACTGGGAGATTATAGGCCTCTGTGTGTGTGTGTGTGTGTGTGTGTGTGTGTGTGTGTGTGTGTGTGTGTGTATGACCCTTAAGCTGATAACCTTCAGCTCTCTTCTTGCATTGTAGTGTTTCACTTGTCTCGGAAGGTGACGTCTCTGGTCCCTGAGAGCTGCCTGCTGATTTTGCTGGGACTAGTGCTTGGAGGCATTGTCTTGGCTGTGGCCAAGAAAGCTGAATACCAGCTGGAGCCAGGCACCTTCTTCCTCTTTCTGCTTCCTCCTATCGTGCTGGACTCAGGCTATTTCATGCCTAGCCGGCTGTTCTTTGACAACTTGGGTGCCATCCTCACCTATGCCGTGGTGGGCACACTCTGGAATGCCTTCACAACAGGCGCTGCCCTCTGGGGCCTGCAGCAAGCTGGATTTGTGGGTGAGTGATCCTAAGACCTGAGTTGGCAAAGGGAGGCTTTGCCAGACTCATCACCTACCTCCCTTTTCCAACTCTAGAGATCCTCTGTTGGCGGGAGCCATACCCTGAGAGCTCCATCTTGGGTCCCTCCCACCTGGAGTGCAAGGAAACACTCCAGATGGGCCTTCAGCCTTCATTTAGTCTTTGCCAGTTAAGTCTAGGCTGCCACAGCATGACAGCTGAGCAGGGGTCTGGCTCTTAGCTCTGTGTGGGCTGCCAAGGCTGTGTTACTACCCTGCTGCCTCCTTCACTCTGTTACCACATGCCAGCCCTGCTCCTCTGAGGCACAGCTCACCGTTTCTGTGAGGGCCTACCATCCTGGCTCATATTGTTATTTTTAATAAATAGATGTTATACATCCACAAAGTGCAAGACACTATGCTGGGTATTCTCACTTTATTTATCCCATTGACTCTTCACAGCAACCCTGTTGGAGTATAATTTGTCCCATTTAATGGATAAGGAAATAGAGGCCTTTAAACTCATTTGATATCAAGCCTAAGTTTGTCATGAGAGGTCCATTTTACTGATGAGGCTCTTTGCCTTCAGGCTGCCCAGACCTGCTCCCTTCTTCCTCATTTCCTGCCTCCAAAATCCATTCAACCCTGAATATTGGTAATTCAGACTTTTTCCAGGGTGCAAGGGGAGGTTTGCGATTTTCACTTGGGAACTCCAACCTGGTTTTCCTAATGGGTTAGTGAATTCCTTGGGCAGGAAGGAAGGGGAGGACGTGAAACCATAATAAAAATAGTAACCCTAATAATAGGGTACTTTCTATGTATTAGGGACTGGCTAAATGAAGAACTTTGTGAAGGAGATAATGTTATTATTCCCAGCATATACATGAGGAAACTCAGGCTCAGAGGTTATATGACTTGTTCAAGTCCCACCTGTGGTGCTTTTCATACTATATACAGCCCTCATAGATGGATAGCCTCTCCCTCTCCTGCTGAGAATTATGAGTGTCACATCCCTTGGGCTTTGAACCACAGGTGTGGGAGAAAGCATGCTCTTTTGTTGTCCCTAATAAAGCCAGTCAGCAGCCAGTTTCCACCTTCTGGTGGTTATTATTACTGCTGCTGCAGTTTTTATTGTCAGTACCACTTTAGCTTTTCAGGTTACATAGAGCTTTCGTAGTCCTCTCCTGGGTTGGTGTTTGCAGCAATCTTGTGAGGTAGGCAGATGAGGAGGCATGACTAAAAGATGTCATGTGACAATGACAGTGCCAACTTCACAGAGCTGGTAATTGGCAAAGCCAGGTCATAGATTGAGATCTGACCAGCAGGCCGATGCTCTCTTCACCACCCCAAGTCCTTTCTGGGTGTTATTTTAACAGTGGGGTAGAGTTTGGGCTTGTCACCAGGAATGTCGTAGGAGACTCAATACCTCACCAATTACTGTCCCCCATCTGTCCCTCAAAAGCCCCTAGAGTGCAGGCTGGCTTGCTGGACTTCTTGCTGTTCGGGAGCCTCATCTCAGCAGTGGACCCTGTGGCTGTGCTGGCTGTTTTTGAGGAGGTGCACGTCAACGAGACTCTCTTTATCATCGTCTTTGGCGAGTCCCTGCTCAATGATGCAGTCACCGTGGTGAGAGTGCTCAGCTGGCTGCCAATCCCAGCCCCAGGCTGCCATGCTCTGACCAATTGGGTGTATCAGCAGGCTTAGACCCTCCCCCTGGGTACCGTGGTGAAGAAATATGGTCTCTGCGTTCATCTCCTGGCAATCCCAATTACTGCCTTCCTCTTGTTCCTGACTCTCTTCTCCTCACTCAGGTGCTCTACAAGGTCTGCAACTCCTTTGTGGAGATGGGCTCTGCCAATGTGCAGGCCACTGACTACCTGAAGGGAACCGGTCAGTATCTCCCCCCTTTCAGTTGGCACTGGAGGTCTGCCTCCACTGGGTTGCTGAGTCCCTGTCCCCACTGCATCAGGACAGAGGAGGCTGTTCAGGTTGCCTCATTCCCTTCCCTTCTCTATGGAGAAATGGAGCCCTGAAACCCCAAGAAGGAGGGGCTTAGGGATCCTGACCCCTGGGGAATGCAGTGGACATCATCCTCTATTCCCTGCCAGGCAGCAGTCTTGTCAGCCCTGGTAGGGTCTGGGGCAGGGGTCACGCTGACAACCCACTCCTTCCCCAGCCTCCCTGTTTGTGGTCAGTCTGGGCGGGGCAGCTGTGGGCTTAGTCTTTGCCTTCCTCTTGGCCCTGACCACACGCTTCACCAAGCGGGTCCGCATCATCGAGCCGCTGCTGGTCTTCCTCCTCGCCTACGCAGCTTACCTCACTGCTGAAATGGCCTCGCTCTCTGCCATTCTTGCGTGAGTCCTCGGGGTATTGCAGGCAGGAAGCTGGGAGGGGGCGCTGGAGATGGTTGACCCTCATATGGACAGAAACAGGACCCTGAGGAATTCATAGGTTTCCCTGGTAGTGGGAGCCTCAGACTCCCCTTGGGAGACAGTAAACCTCAGGTTATATTCCAGGATCTGCCTTCAGAACTTTCCTGGGCACCCCAGAACCCAATCTTCCTTTGCCTGAAGTGCTCTGTGGGGTATGGGTCGAGCTGGAATTGGCTTCAAGGCCTGGTGCCACTGGCTTTGGTGACCACAGCACTTCAAAAGGTGCCTCAGAGAGTATGCCATTCAGAACATGTTTTTCCCACCTTCCCCTCCAGGGGGAAAGTGCTCAGAGACACTGAGTGGGAAGCCTGGAGATTAGGACCCTTATTACAGGACTACCACTAGCTATCCCTGGACAGTCTCCATGCTTCCTGGGCCTCAGCTCTGAGAGTCTGACATCCTGTGATGGGCAACACCCTCTCCTGCAACATGCTCAAACCCCAGAGGCTGTGCCTCCTGCAGCCCCTCCTCACTTGTCTCTCCATTCCTCTTCCAGGGTGACTATGTGTGGCTTGGGCTGTAAGAAGTACGTGGAGGCCAATATCTCCCATAAGTCACGCACGGCTGTCAAATATACAATGAAGACTCTAGCCAGCTGCGCTGAGACTGTCATCTTCATGCTGCTTGGCATCTCGGCCGTGGACTCTTCTAAGTGGGCCTGGGACTCTGGGCTGGTGCTGGGCACCCTCTTCTTCATCCTGTTCTTCCGAGCCCTCGGTATTGCTGGCACCCTCTGATTTCCCACTCTTCTTCCTGCCTCTGCCCCAGCTCATCCCCCAATCTGAGTCCACATCCTTGTCAATTCCTAAGCCTCCCCTTGTTGCTCACCCCTTCCAGCCCCTGTCAGACCTTAGCCCAGATACTTGGTGCCATCACTCCCAGTGCCCTCCACTCCCAACCCCCTGCTCCCACTGGCCTCCCTCCTGCTGTAGGCGTAGTTCTGCAGACGTGGGTGCTCAATCAGTTCCGGCTGGTCCCTCTGGACAAGATTGACCAGGTGGTGATGTCCTATGGGGGTCTGCGGGGGGCTGTGGCCTTCGCTCTCGTCATCCTACTGGACAGGACCAAGGTCCCTGCCAAGGACTACTTTGTGGCCACCACTATTGTGGTCGTCTTCTTCACAGTCATCGTGCAGGTGGGAGAGCCCACAGGCTGGGTGGGGAGAGGGTCTGGCAGGCCCGGGGGGGCCTTGGAACCTTTGGTATGAGCTCTTCTTCCTGCTGGGGATACAGGGACTTGACTTCCTAGACCTTGAGTGCAGTGAGGTGGGGATTCAGAAGCTGAGGCCTAATTATGGGAAGAGACAGGCAGCAGGGAACTAGATAGGGCAGGGCTCACCTGCTGCCTGTCTATAGGGCCTGACCATCAAGCCACTGGTCAAGTGGCTGAAGGTGAAGAGGAGTGAGCATCACAAACCCACCCTGAACCAGGAGCTGCATGAGCACGTGGGTACCAGAACCCCATCCCCCCACCTGTCCCTCTCTCCCTTCTCCTGTTTTGAGCAGAGTCCTGATCCAGTCGCCCTACCCACCCCACTTCTAGACTTTTGACCACATTCTGGCTGCAGTGGAGGACGTTGTGGGCCACCATGGCTATCACTACTGGAGGGACAGGTGAGGGAGCTGCCCCGAGGCTCCTTCAGCAGCAGCAGCCCCTGCCAGGGCAGCATGGGGAATGTGCCATACTCCTGAGAAGGGACACAGCCAGGCTCAGGCTGGGTGACCTCTTCCTGGAGTCCTTCAGTGGCATCCCAGTACTCTGAGGATAAGACAAGGCTGGTCTGCCCGGCCCTGCATGGTCTGGCACCTGTCAGACTCCAGCCTCACTGTGCTCTGCTCTGTCTTTGACTGTCTGCCTGCCAATTACATGGACCCTGTTTTACAATCTCAGGACCCACTATGCTCCTCTCACCCTGGCCCCTGGGACCTTTGCATATGTTGTTTTCTCTACTATATAGAATACTCCCTTGCCTCCCTTTCACACACTTAACCTCTGTTCATCCTTCAGATCTCACCATAGGCATCAAGTCCTTAGGGAGGAGGCATTCCCTGGCCTTCCCGACTAGGATGAAGCCCTATCATACTGTATAATTATCCATTGTAGTTCTTGTCATGGTTGCAATTTTACAATTATTTGTAATAACTTCAGGCTTTCCTATAACACTGTAAATTCCATAAGGACAGGGACTAGCTTTGAGATTCTCCCTGATTGAGGCCCATACCAAGAAAGCCAGGCCAGTGCTGGTGGTGCCCCTGCCCCATCTGAGGAAGGGCCAGCCAGCCAGGCCTTGGGGATGGCACTCAGGGCCAGGCCTGGCATCCTCTGTAGGTGGGAGCAGTTTGACAAGAAGTATCTGAGTCAGCTACTGATGCGGCGATCAGCCTACCGCATCCGGGACGAGATCTGGGATGTGTACTACAGACTCAACATCCGGGATGCCATCAGCTTCGTGGATCAGGTGGGTCAGCAGCCAGAGGTGGGTGGACCAGGTGGCCAGTAGGGTGGGGCAGGATGGAGTGACAGCAGGCAGGCCCTGAGCAGGGAGTTGAGAATTCCTAGCAAATTCAATGGTCTTGTAAAGTGGCAGCTGCAGGAACCAGTCTGGCCTGATGCTAATATTCAGAGTCTAGCAGGCAATAGAGAAAGGTGGGAAGCAGTTGGACTCTGGAGTTAACAGATGTGGTTTAATTCTTATCACTTGTAGGCTTGTGACCTTGAGTAAGTCACTTAACCTCTCTGAGCCTCAGTTTTCTCAACTATGAGAAAGCAGAAATGAGTGCCTCTGTCACAGTTTTGTGGATTCAATAGGAAAAGTGCCTAGCACAGTACCTGAAACATCAAAAGAGCAGAATAAGTGTTAACGATTATTATTCTTTTCATTACCCTCTGATTGTCTGGGCCACCCTGGATCTGATTGCCACCTGACCTCTGTCTTGGCCCCTGCAGGGAGGCCATGTCTTATCCTCCACAGGGCTCACTCTGCCCTCTATGCCCAGCCGCAATTCTGTGGCAGAGACCTCTGTCACCAACCTGCTGTAAGTCCTTGAGCCTGCTCCCCCTCCCTCAAGCTCCTCTCCATTGGGCCTTCTCTGAATCACTTCTGGGAAAGATTTGTGAACACTTTTGCATCTGCCCTTCCCCTGGCCTGTGCCTCCTGGCCCCTCCCCAGCACATGTGTTCCCTGCTTCCTGCAGGAGGGAGAGTGGCAGTGGAGCATGTCTGGATCTGCAGGTGATTGACACAGTACGTAGTGGCCGGGACCGTGAGGATGCTGTGATGCACCATCTGCTCTGCGGAGGCCTCTACAAGCCGCGCCGCAGGGTGAGAGCATGCAGGGCATGAGTTCTGAAGGGGTGAGGGTGATCTGGGGAGGCCATGATTGCAGGCTCAAGAGGCAATTGACACTAGCTTGTGGAGAGCTTTAGATGCCCAGTTGAAGAGTGTGGGCTTCAACTTATCGGTAAGAGCTTTTTTTTGCGGGGGTAAAGGTTGGCCTGATACACACACTGTTTAAAGATGTCTTCTCTGGTAGCAGAGTGCATATCAAATCAGAGGAGGTGAGTTTAGAGGCTGGACGAGCCAGCTGGGAAGCTGGAGTGAAACACTGTGGATTAGAGCTGGTTGATGGGAAGGGAGAGGAGCGCATAGAACTGGGTGATTGGCCCTGGAGGGGAAGGCAAGAGATAAGAGTACAGAGGGCTTGATGGTGTCACAGACAGAAGCAAGAATGCTGAGGAAGCCTGCAGGACCAGCTTAGCACAGGGAAGGCAGACATGTTTTAGGTAATGTGAGTTAGTCCAATGCAGGCTGTGAAGCTTTGGGACTGGAAAGGCCCATCCCATTTTGGAGGGAAACTGTTGCAACCCCACAAGGGGGCAGCAACCCATTACCTTGAACCTCCCTGAAATGGGAAACCAGCTGTTAACCATTCCTGGCAGTTTAAAATCAAGGCTGTTTCTACTGTTGAGACAGAATTGGCTTTCTTTAACTTGCTTCCACTGGTCCAGATTTAACTCTTTGCAGCTCTGCCAAATCAGTTTTCAAAGCTTTCAAGACAGTTCCCTTCCCCACAGGCCTTCTGCCCTCAGGCTAGCTTTTCCTCTCCCTGGTGTATCTTCTCTGGTCATAAGAAACAAGGCCCAGGATGGAAGGTGTTATTCTAGCTGGAGTTGGCAAGGGAAGAGCATAAAGCCTGTCTTTTCTAGTTCTAGAACTTTCCAGTCTCTTCCTGTAGCCCCGAATCCCTCCAGCTTTGGCTCACCACCCCGAGACCCCATATTATCCTTACAATCAGGCAAACCCCCAGTGTCTTCCTCAGTTTAATGGCTGTTAAACCCTATCTCATCCAACCTGTGGGCCTTTTGTGTTGTTTACTTTTTTCTAATAGAAAACTTCATTCACAAAACTAGAGAGAATAAAATAACTCATTTATCCATCACCCAGCTCCAATAATTATCAATGCATGGCTAATCTTGCTACATTCTGGAACCCAACACACTCCAGCCACGCTTTATTGCCTTAAAGCAAACTCCAGACATCGTATCATTATCATCTCTAAATATTTCAGTATGTATCTCTAGGTAGAAAGAACTCTTAAAAAAATAAACATAGTACCGTATCACTTACAACAGATAACAATAATTCCTGTTTATATCAAACATCCAGTCATCTTTTTCCAGATGGTTTGTTTAAATCAGAATCCAAATCAAGTCCTCACTTTGCATTTGGTAAATATATCTCTTTATTTAAAAGAAAATCTATAATAGTTCCTTCTCCCTCATCCCCCCCCCCCACCTTGTAATTCATTTATTGAAGGAACTGGATACTTTGTCTCAGAGAGTTTCCCATTTTATAGATTTTGCTGATTGTGTTTCAGTGGTGGTGTTGAATGTGTTCCTCCCTCCCCTGTGTTTCCTGGTAGTTAAATCTAGAGACCTGGTCAGATTCAGGAACATTCATAAGTATGCTGTGTATTTCTTACTGTATCACATCAGGATGTACATACAATAATAATTGGTTGTCTGTGAATGTGTGTGTGTGTTAGATCAGTCAGTGGGTTCAGTCCAATTAGTTCTTGTGCAGTCAATTAAAAAAAAACAAACGAGTGAGATTGTGCTTATCCCTGTTAAATGTCATCTTATTTGATTTAGCACATCATTCCATCGTTTGGATACCATGTCTGCCACCAAATATCTGCTCAGATTCACATCACATGAAAACTTGCTAAGCCTGTTAATTCTGTATTCCTCCAAATCAACCTAAAAATGTTGAACAGGATAGAACTGAGGACAGAGCCCTGTGGCATGCTACTAAGGACTTTCCTCCAGACTGAAATGGATCAACCATTTTTGGGGTATGGTTACTAGCCAGTTATGAATTAGTTATACCATAACATAATCTGTAATCCCTCATATTCTTCACAGAAATGTCACCAGAGAGAGACAGAAGTGTCTTGTATGCAGTTAAAAATATAAGATTGTAGTTTAAGAGAGAGAGAGAGATAAGGGCTGGAGATAAAGATTTGGAAACGACCTTTACCAGAGGTTTACTCACCTGGCTACAGCAGAACCCCCCGAGGAACTTGCTAGGATACATATTCCTGGCTTCACCTCCTGGAGATTTTGATTCTGTAGTATGGAATGGGAAGCAGACTCTGTGCTCTTAATAAGTCCCCCAGGTGATTCAAATGCAGCTGGTTTGATGGCTGGTGTTTGGGAGCCACAAATCTCTATCACTGGGTTAACTGAAGCTGAGAGAATGGACAGGTTTGCTGGGGAGAGAGGAGGGCCAAGGACAACACTGAGGAATGCACACGGAAGAAAAGGAGGAGGAGCCAGAAACGGAGCCAGAAGGAACCCTTGGAAGAGCAGTAGCAGATGGTATCTCAGAGGCCTGGGGCAGAAAGAGGGCTGAATGCTGCACAGAGGTCAGTGCCTAACCAGAGGCCATGGCACTGGTGACTGGGGAGAAGGCAGCACTGTGGAGTTGTGGACCCTGCAGTTATATTTCTGGTATTTAAGGAAGTAATGGTTATGAGGGAAAGTGTCAGAATCAAAGTATACAAATTGTGCAGCAAAAGGGAGGCAATGGCATCAATGGAAAGGTTTCCTTTAAGGAGGTAAGGGCAGGAACACGCTTAAAAGCAGAGGGGAGGGGGCCTGTGGTGAGGGAGGGTTTGAAGAAGTAGGAGAGGGAGAAATAGAAGGAGCAAGGAACTGATGGAGGCAGGAAGGAGTGAGCTGAGCCAGTGGAGGCTGTGATTGAGGAGTGAGGAGCCCTGTGAAGGAGCTGGACCCCTCCCTTGACCTCTCCAAGAGAGAGGTACCTCTGGGTCAATATGTAGAGGAGGGCAGATAGGGGACTTTGCAGAGAGCTCTTAGAACTGGTTCAGGGAAGCAGAAAATATGAGGTGTAGACTGGGAATGTGAGGCAAGACAAGATGATTTGAAACATGCTGGCAGTACTTGGTGGATTACCACTAGATAATAAAAAGGTTGCCAAGAACCAAGGGCAGAGACAGAGGCAATCTAGGTGAGTGTGTAGTGGGCTTGGTCTTTATGACAAAAGGATGGAAGGAGCAGATGATGGGGTTGGTCCTGAATTAGGCACAGATAGTTGTTGGGCCGAGAGGGTCCAGTGGGTCAGGAGAGACACTTAATGGAAGTTTAAAGTGCAGCCCGAGGTGTCCTGGTGGTTGTAGGAATGGCTAACTGGAGAGCTCCACCTGGAGGGAGAATCCTGTGTGGCTAGAAAGGGGCATGTGGGCCAGGCAAGTGGACCAGGTTCATGATGAGTTGCAAAGAAAGAAATGTCCCCCATGGTCTCATAGTAGCCCCCTGCCTCTCTTGTCACTTGAATCAGAGAGAATTGGGAAAGGGCTGTAGGGGGTAGGGGAAACCAGATTTGGGGGAGATCTGGGATAAAGGAAAGTTTTTCCCCAGTGAACTGAGAATACAGAGTGTCTGGCTGGATTCCTATTGTATTTTTTTGTTTTGATTTGTTTTTTAATCAATGACTAGTTCTTGAAAAACTCAGCCGGCAGGGCCTATGGTGAACATGGGGCTGTAGCCTGGGGTTCCTATGGGAGGCCAAGGCCCCCAGCCTCATGGCAGGGCGGGGCTGTCATTGCCAGTACAAAGCCAGCTGCAGCCGCCACTTCATCTTGGACGACGCACAGGAGCGGCAGGACAAGGAGATCTTCCAGCAGAACATGAAGCGGCGGCTGGAGTCCTTTAAATCCACCAAGCACAACATCTGCTTCACCAAGAGCAAGCCACGACCCCGCAAGGCTGGCCGAAAGAAGGCACGTGCTTTCTTTGGGACTTCTGTTTGGGGCTGGAGGCTGACGGCACACAGTTTTGAAACCCTAAGTGTTGGAATCCAGCTCAGGGGGACCCCTAGTTGGATATACCTCAGGGACTTGGTGGCTGCAGCAGTTTGGGTTCTCTTTTGCATCTTCCTGGAGCCCCAGAAGGGGAAGGTGAGCCCTTCAGAGGGAGATCAGCTTCTTGGCCATGTGATCACCTGCTGGGAGGCAGCAGGACCTCCTACCAGAGGTGAAATGAGCAGGAGAAAGGAAGACTCCCTGAGGGGCAACTCCACAACCCCCTGGTTCAGCCCAGGCTGATGTATCGAGAGATCTGGCTGGGGCATGGATTACTCAGACAGCACAGTACTTTGCTGGGGGGGCCAAGGGATGGAGGGCTATTGGGATTGACACAGATTCCGTCTCCTGCTGTGTCAGGAAGTGTAGTCCTGTTGACCCTACCAGACAACAAGGTTAGGATTTGGAGCCAGAGGCTTAAGGTTTTTTTCTTGGTCCCCAGAAGAATGGTGTGGCTAACACTGCAGCTACAAATGGGAAACCTCCTCGAGACTTGGGCTTTCAGGATACAGGCAAGCAGGGAGTGGGGGTGAGGTTGAGGATGGGAGGGGTAGGGAAAGGGCAGGGGCCCATCAGCCAGAATCCTGGAGGACCTCCTCTGCTATATTCACAGCCATGAGCTGGGGCTCTTCCCCTCAGGGACTAGATGGGCACACTTGATTTCAAAGCAGTTATTAGACTATTTGTGACAGGAGATGTCTGAAAGCTAACTACAGGTTACAGGCCCTGAGGACTTGGAAAAGGTGTCATGGACAAGGGGGAAGCTTGGTCAGAGCCTTGAAGGGTGGGTGGACCCTGGGGCCCAGTGTCCCATCTGCAAAACCAGGAGTTTTGCAAAAGCAGAATGGGCTGAATGTTGATGGGCCTCATAGTTCTCCAAATGCCCAGTTGATAATGGAACCTGAAGCTGAGGGAAGAGGATGGGGGAACCACAAAGTATGACTTCCCTCATGGCTTCCTCTGAGGACTCTGCTTGCCCTGGTTGCCTCCTTGGGATCTGTAGTTCCATTTCCCTTCCTCTCAAGCCTCCAACTTCCTAGGCCAGTACTAAAGCAGCCAGAGGAGAAAGCAGGTGCCTCTACCAACTGTGGGCTCTGCCTGGGTGGACAGGGAGCTGGTTTGGGGTTGTGCAGTACCAAGAGGCAGCTGCTGGCCTGGCCACCCCTATTCAGCTCGTGTCCCTGTCCAGCTGCTGTGATCTTAACTGTGGAGTCTGAGGACGAGGAGGAGAGCGACAGTTCGGAGACAGAGAAGGATGACGACGAGGGGATCATCTTTGTGGCTCGGGCCACCAGTGAGGTTCTCCAGGAGGGCAAGATCTCAGGTAATGGCTACCCCCCCACACACACACACACACCTCCCTCCCCTCTGGAGCAAGCTGGAGCTGTGCAGTTGGCTTCCGCCCTTTTCACTTATGGCCTCTACTCCAGACAACTCCCTCTTCCTATTCACTCATTTATTCACCAACCAGCATTTACTGAGCATCTCCTTTATATCACACATCTGACATGCATGATCTGATTCAACCCTCACGACAACCAAGATGGAAAAACTGAGCCCAGAGAACCGAAGGGACTTGGAACTTGTCCAGCATTCCACAGCAGAACCAGAATTTGAACCTGACTCATCTGACTCCAAAGCCTTTACACCGCCATGCTTCCTCCCTTTATTGTTTGGCGAGAAACATGAGGTGACAAGGCTAACACCAGGTTTTGTTGTGACCCATGCTCAGCATACCTGCCCTCAGGTAGAACCCCTGATGATGGTGGAAGTCTGTCCTGGGAGAAGGAGTCTGAATTTATCAAAATGGAATTATTGAGGACAAAAAGCAATATGTACATGTTTCTATATGTGGAGACCTAATTCACAAAGCTAAATATCACTGCTAGTTAGCTTAAGCACTCAGGTGTCTTTTAAAACATTTTTTATTATAGAAAATTTCAAAATATACAATAGACAGAAGAGTAAAATGAACTCCCATCTATCTATTCCCCAGCTTCAATACTTACCTACTCCTAACCAGTCTAATTTCATCTATATCCTCACTATGCCCTCCTCATCACTGGGTTTTTTTTGAAGCAAATCTCCAATATAATAATTCATCAATAAATACTTCAGCATGTATCTAAAAGATAGGATTCCTCTTTAAAAATACAAACACGATACTATTATCATATTTAAAATCTTGGTTATCAAATACCCAGTCCACGTTCAAATTTCCCTGTTTTTATATATATATATATATATATATATATATATATATATATATATATATATATATGTAATTTTTTTATAGTAAATTTGTTCAAATAAAAATCCAGATAAGGCCCACATATTGCATTTGGTTGATATGTTTCTTTTAACCTTTAGGTGTGGTTCTCAAGGTGGTGGTGATGGAGTGATTTTGTCCCCCAGGGGACATTTGGCAATGTCTGGAGACATTGGAGTTGCCACAACTGGAGGGGTACACTTGGCACAGAGTGGGTAGAGGCCAGGGGTGCTGCTAAACATATTATAATGCATAGGACAGCGCCCACAACAAAGTATCTGTTCCAACATGTCAATGGTGTCAAGTTCTTATAGGTTCCCCCACTCCCCCGACTATCTGCTTTCCTCTCCTTGCAATGTATTTATTGGAACAACCTGGCTATTTGTCCTGCAGTCTTTCCTAGTCTAGATTTTGCTGATTGCATTCCCCAAATATCATTTAATGTTTCACTGTCCTTTACATTTCCTGTATTCATTTATGTATTTATTTATTTTTTAGCTGAGCCATCCTGCTACTATTGGCAGCTTAGCGGCAGCTCAGCTCGGGCCAGGTATTGAACCGCTGTTGCTCAGAGCTCAAACTCTTGAGTGAGCTCTTAACCAACTGAGCCACTCAGCCGGCCCTCCTGTATTTATTTTTATTAGGTAAAAAATCTAAAAAAAACTGAATTAGTCTATTCAACGAGTGGTTCCTGGCCACTCTGTGACCCCTTCTTCCTGTATGTTCTCCCCCAACTTCTCTTTGTGTATCTAAACTGTCTCATGTTCTTAGCTAATTTTTTACTTCCTTTAAACTGGTAATTACCTCTAGAGCAGATTTCAGTTTTCACTGTTTGGTAAAAATACTTTATAGGTGGTGATGGTGTACTTCCTATTGCATCCTATCAAGAAGCACATATCACCTGGTTGCCTCTCTTTTTGTGAGGTTAACATTGATCACTGGGTTCCGATGTTATTAGCCTGATCCATCCATTATCAAGTTCCCCACCAGCTTTTCATCAAATGGTCTTAACAGCCACTGATGATCACTGGCAAATTCAACATTTTATTGGGGGATGCAAAATGGTGATACTCTACATCAATTTATTCGCAGGAATTCTATGGAAAAAAGCTTCCTCTCATCAATTATCTAGTTACTTTGAGATATAGTTCATACAGGAAACAATGGATAAATGCTTGATTTTTTCCCTTTTATCTATCAGTTTTCAGACCATGAGTTAGCTCCCTAGCCTCCTCCAAAGGCGAACACTGAAGTTTTGTGTTCTTTTAATTTCGTTGTTAAAATTTAATATTCCAGGTCTTTCAAGAGAGGTAGCTTTACTTTCAATCACAGCATCAATACATTTCATAATGTACTCAATCACGTTTATAGGGCTGCTCAGGACTGTATCAATGAGCAGACATGTATTGAGCACATACTATATGCAAGGCATTGTGCTTGACTTTGGAGGGCCAGGGGTGGCAGGTGGCCAGAAGGCTTCTCTTTCCCAGGTTTCCTCTTTCAGAACCTTAGACTTCCTGTCACGCAGGGGCTGAGCCTTCCATCTTGGCTACCAGCATTCTGGGATTCTCAGCTCATGTCCCCTGTGTTCTGGCATCCCCTTTGTGGCACAGCTTTAGCCTGCTATTAGGTTTGCATGAGCTCACACTCCTGGGCTCTGTCCCATCAAAGGGCAGGGCCCCCGAAGCAAAGCCTTTGGCTGGAGCCTTGAGGTCTTCCTCACCCTCGCTGCCATCTCTCTGGGATGGGGCTTGGCAGGATGTGGTTTCTGAGACTGGTGCTACAAGTTGGGTGAGAGCTGATTATAGATGGAACTTTCTTCCTGCCTGACTCCTGCTTTCTCTTGCTTTAGTTATTTTCACTTTTCAATAGGTATTTGTTGAGCAACTACTATGTGCCCAGTCCTGTGCTAGGTGCTGGGGATAGATACAACGGAGAGCAAAACCAGCTGTGGAGCTTCCCTTTGGCAAGGCATTCATCAAATAATCACACAAATGGATGTAATATGGCAACTGTGGAATGAATTTATTTATGAAAATGTGCTTATACTTGAAGGTTCCATTGTGTTGGTAATGAGCGCTTGTGTACTCTCTGTCCCCAGGGAGCCTTGAGGTGTGTCCAAGCCCACGCATCATCCCTCCCTCTCCAACCTGTGCAGAGAAGGAGCTACCCTGGAAAAGTGGGCAGGGGGATCTGACAGTCTACGTGTCCTCGGAAACCACCAAGATTGTGCCTGTGGACATGCAGACAGGCTGGGACCAGAGTATCTCATCCCTGGAGAGCCTGGCATCCCCGCCCTGTACCCAGACCCCATCTATGACCTACCTGCCTCCCCACCCACCGGCCGCTGAAGAGCCCCAGGCCCCTCTTGACCTGCCTTCTGATCTGCGCCCTAGCTTCGCCTTTCCCCCAAGCCTGGCCAAGGCTGGCCGGTCTCGCAGTGAGAGCAGCGCTGACATCCCCTGGCAGCAGGAGCTACAGCCCCTCATGGAACACAAGGACCATACCCATCTTAGCCCAGGCACTGCTAGCTCCCACTGGTGCATCCAGTTCAACAGAGGTGGCCGGCTGTAGCCCAGGGACTCAGGGAGGAGCAGGAGGCCGGAGCCCCTGTGGAAGTGTTCCGTGTGCAAAAGGCAGAGGACACTCAGCCTGATATGGGGTCAGAGGGACCTGGACTTAAGTAGCCACTGGGCTCCTTTAGGGTGGGTCAGAAGGGTCTCCTGGGCTGGTCCTCACAGGGATCCTTTTCACCATCACCCCTGCTCCTAACTCCTACCACCTTCCCTTTTAGTAAGGCCCTAACCCTCGCCCAAGACCCAGTCCAGAGCTTCTAGGAGCTAGGCCCAGACACTTGGGTAGCTGATGCCCATTCCCCAGGGGGTCTGTCTTCCTGGGGACAATCTAGGCAGCTGTTTCCTGCCCCCAAAGCAAGGGCATCAATCATTCTTCAGCTGATGATGGCCATTCCTGCCCTCTACCCCCTCAGAACCAGCTTAAGGACAGTGCCCTGGCAATGAGGTTCCTCGAGGGGCTGGTCCTCAGAGGAACTGCGGTAGGAGGTGGAGCAGGCCTCAACCTTGGGTTTTGCTGCCCTGTTGTAACCAATTTTTCTAGGGCAGTAGGAGTCTGTCTCTATTTCTTGCTTTATCTCCTTCCCTTTGCTGCCAGTTATTGGGGTGATTGGGGTGATAGTTCCTCCTTTTCCAGTCCCAAGGCTACAGGGCTAGGCCAGGCTTCAGGTCAGGGCTGCTTCTTAGCCAGGGTCACTCTGGGGATCTGATGCTCTGCATCCGAGTCTGGACCATTCAGATCCTTGGGTCTAGGTTTTCTGAGGAAGGGAGGCAGTGGCCTCGGCTCCCACATTACTACCTTGACATTTCCCAAACAGGAAAGGAGCCAGGTATCCCAGGGCCATAGCTTCTCTGCTGTAGGGGCTGGGATTCCTGGCTGCAGTGGTAAGGTAGGGGCCTTTCCTGGGGTTAGCACCTGCCCTGTGTTTTGTATGTTGAACTGAAGACACATTAAACACCTCTTGGATGGATGGGTGTCCCACGTCCATGTGTCTGGGGGTTCTAGGGGCAGGGGAGTGGCAACAAGGGTATCTGGTGAGGGAAATGGAAACTTCTAACCACCTGCCCCAGGATTTCTGGGATAGAGATTGAAGGGGGGGATCCTGGGAAAGACTGTTAGGCCCTCTGGCCCTTCCTCCCTCCTCTCCTCTATCTTCTCAATATTGTCCCCTTCTAGGGGTCTGCAGTGGCAGTCCAGGGGATCACTGTATGGACACGGGGCCACAGAACTGGGTGTCTACAAAATGGGGAAGGCTAGTCAGGAAAGTGACCCAAGAGGTCAGGTGCCATGGTGCCCAAAGATGCAGCCACCACACACTGGGACCCAATAAACCTTTTTGAAAACCTGGAGGCAGGCGTAGGACAAATGAACAGAAGTGTTCTGCACATGGCAAGGTGGGAGGGCAATCTCAAGATAGCTGGTTACCCTGAATGTTTATGATACAAATCGGGTAGTGTGGGGTCCAGAAACATTGAGGGATAGAAATCTCTGGTAACAGCAGTCCCAAATTCAATTTCCACTGTGTCTAAAGGGCTTTTTTAAAAAAATCTATCTTTACAAAGATATAACACCATAAAATTCACCCATTTAAAATGTACAGTTCAGAGGTTTTCAATATATTCAGAGTTGTGCAACCCTCACCACAATCTAAGTTTAGAACGTTTTCATTATCCCCAAAAGAAACCCTTTACCCATTAGCAGTCACTCACCCGCAGCCTAGCCCTAGGTAATCACTAACCTACTTTCTGTCTCTATAGATCTGAAGGATTTGACATACTGTGAAGGTTACAAATTTAGTCACCTTTTCTATGTTAATCATGGGGGAAGTATGAAGAGAAGAGTGACTTAGGCTTTACTCTCAAGTTTAGAGTGATGAGGCCTGGTAGTTATCAGTCCCAGCTGTCACTCACCAGGTAGGTCATCTTAGGCGTGTTACATACTTTCTCTGAACCTCAGTGTCTTCATCTCTACAATGAGATAACAATCATACTTATTTCATAAGGTTGCTCTTAGAATTAAATGATAAAATGAGAAGAATCTAGTACACAGCTTGGTCCATGGGAAGGGATCACAAATGTTTGTCATTATTGGTCTTATACTATAAGGCAAAGCACACTGAAAGTGCTATGGGGCATTGAGGTCTGGGAGGAGTGTGTGTGTGTGTGTGTGTGTGTGTGTGTGTGTGTGTGTGTGTGTGCATGTACGCGCACGTGTGCACGTTTAGGGGCTCAGACAACACAGGAAAAGTTGGGTGGGTGAATTCCCAGTAGAAAGAGCAACATAAAGGATGCCTGGAGTGCACATGGCAAAAAACAAGGAGCAGTGGTTGGTGTTGGGAGAGACCAGCCAGGGACACAAAAGCTTGGGTGGGGAGGCCCTGTGGAGTTTTGGGGGTGGCAGAGAGCTGGCCTGAGAGAATTGGGATCTGGGAGTGGTGTGGGCAGTGATGTGCTTTAGGGAACTCAAATATGGCTGGTGCCAGGAGGAAGATGTGTGGAACTGCAGGTGGAGGATGGATTGATAGAACACAAGACTAGAGAAAACCTGTTGGGAGGCTGCGCCAGCAGCCCAGGAACCTGAAGGGGCTGGCTGGAGAGGACAGGCAGCCATTTTCAGACTTTAGTATCAGAATCACTGTGGAGCTTGTCAAACATGCAGACTCCCGGGCCTACCCCAAAGGCTCTTGCTCAGCAGGTCTATGGAGACCCAGAAATCGGTCATCTTAAACAGCTCCCTAGAGGGAGGTGGCCCATAGACTACATCCTTCGAGAATTACTAGATTAGAAAGGTTGTAGAAATCAAATCCACGCAATTAGGCAACTGATGGTGTAGGCACGGGGGCGCAGAGGGGCTCCTGGGCCTGGTGCTGGGTAACTAAGAATGGCGGGACTTCTGGGCAGATAGGATTGGTCAGAGGCCAGCAGACTGAGGGAAGAAAGCAGGTGAGCACAGCTCCCAGGGGAGGCAGGCATCTGGGGTGAAGGCGCACGGCCAGTTAAGAGCTCATCCATGGATTGCCACCTGACTGGACAGCATGGCAGAAATGGCCTTCAGTGCCACTTGAGCTGCATCCAGGCCTCGAAGGAAGAACTTTGACCTGGGGGACTTGGGGAGATGGACATGGGCATTCCAGGTAGAGAACTAAGGCTTGTAATCAGATGAGTTTTCCAGGCTAGTATGTGAGCTGTACAGGAAGGGTGTGACGTCTTTGGATGGCCTTGAATGCTACACTAAGGAGTTTAGAGTTTATTTAGGCCAAAGATGAGATAGGTCTGGAAGGTTTGGGGTATATGTCACCCTATCTGGGGCAGTATTGAAGAGGGTATGCAAGATTTTTTGGTGGAGTGAGGGCAATGACGGGCCACTGAGGCACAAAGCTCCTATTTTATTTTTTGATTTATTCATATTGGCAAAGAATGCGAGGCTGAGGGAAGGTAAGGGAAGGCTAGGGAAGGGGCAGGGGAGGGAAGCCCATCCCCATTTTATGATCTCAGTGGAAAAGGCTGCTATGAATAGGTTCTGCTGCCAAGAGAGCCACAGAGATGGGCCCCATGAGTCACTGTTCAGTCCTGCAAGCTCAGCCCACAGAGCCTACTGTGGTCAGCAGCCCAGGCTGGCTCCAAGCCCAGCCCCCAGTGTTCCCCACTAGGCCCCAGTCTGTCCCCATTTCTATCTGTGTCTTTGCCATCCTAGAGCCGTGCATCCTGCAGCTCTCTGCTTCCTCTGTGTCCCTTTCAGACTGAACCTCTGAATCTGTTCCCATTTGTGACTCTGATTTACATCTGGTTCATGGATGGGGAGCCTCAGGAGGGCAGGGGCAGTGTGACCAGTCTCAGGAACCTCCCAAGCATTTATTATTGCTGGAAGTACAGAAGTGGACAACACACAGTCTCTGTTTTCAGGAAGCTTACAGTGCACATTCTATGTGGAGTGAATAAACCAAGGCCTGAATCTGTCTGCCTGTGCCCAGGAGTGCTGGGGTCTGCTATGGCCTGTGGCTTGAGGCCTCTTATTTGCCTCTGGCATTGGAGGGGTGTGTTTGCTTGCCAGCAGGTCCCCCCCAGCTCTTAGGGCTCCTAGGGGGCCTGGTTGGTGGGTGGGGGTGGGCAGGCAGTGGGCAGCAGAAGGGGAGGGAGGGAGAGGAGGCAGTGACTCAGTGGGGCGGCCCTGGGACAACTGGGGAGGTAGCCAAAGTTGGTCCTGATGCTCACTGGAGCTAGAAGAGGGTGGGATGAGAGGACCCACGGGAGCTGGGGATGGATCAGGATAACTGCAAGGCTCCTCTTTCACAGCCAGATCAGTTCATGAAGAAGACTCTTTGGTAGCTGAGAGTCTGGACTTTGGGTGCTGATGTGGCAGCTGGGAGGAGGGCAGATTGCTTTTGTTCCCACTATGTCTGTTTCTGATGCTCAGTTCCCTCCTCGGGCTCATGAAGGAGGTGCCTGCCTTAGAGTCAGAGAAGCCATTACACCCAGGAACCAAGGGCCTGAGCATGTTGTGGGGCACAGTGTCTTCTTCTGGCCATATAGCCTACCTTCTTACAATCTTCCTGCAAATTCTGGGGAGTGTTAGGCCAGGCCTACATGACCCAAAGGGACCTCGTACCTCAAAACTGGGAGGGATCTCACAGGTCAACTGTCCAGTGAGAGTTGAGGATCCCCTGACTGAGGGGGAGGGCACCAACACAGTGGAAGTGCTGGCAGCAAGTGGACGTCTGACATATGGGGTCTTTCCTAGTCCTCATAGCAATCCCGAGAGAAAGAAATGACTTTCTTTTCTTACAGGTGAGTAAGGTGAGGCTCAAAGAGAGCTGAGTTGCTGGAGCTCACCCAGCAGGTAAGGAGGAGCAGGCCTGGGTTAATAGCTCTCTGGCTGTGAGACCTGACCTCAGTCCCAGCCTCCTTGGGACTTAGTGGGCAGGGGGATCTTGGCTGGGGAGGGGGTGTATGTGAAAGAAGTGTCAAGAATACAAGGTAGGGGCCGGCCGAGTGGCTCAGTTGGTTAAGAGCTCGCTCAAGAGTTTGAGCTCTGCGCAACATAGGTTTGATGCCTGGCCTGAGCTGAGCTGCCAAAAGGTGGCAGGATGGCTCAGCTAAGAAAAAAAAAAATAATACAAGGTAGTGGAGGGTCTGGGGCTGGTGGATTGGTGGATTCTGGGATGCCTGGGTCAGCTCCCATCCCAGAGGCCTCCCTGCCCCCTCCTCCCCAGCCCAGACGGCAGCCCTCTATCCCATCATGGGATCATACAACCTGTCTCTTGGTGCCTGGGCCTGGGGCCTGGAAGAAAGATGGGGGCTGCAATGGAGGGGCGCCTCCCTCCCAGCCTCTATGAAGATATCCCAAGCATCTGGTCTGGGCGTAGGGAGTCTCTCTTTCTAGGGGCCTCCTGGGACCCTGGGCCCACACTTTCCTTCTCCAGGATAAGAGGAATGAGTGCTCCTTATTTTGCTGAGAGACCTGGGGCAGGGCTCCCCCCAAACTGTGTTCATTCAAGAGCAGAAGCTCCCTCACCTACGTAGTCCCTTCTCCACCCCAATTCCCAGGCCAACCCACATGCTCACTCACTCTCTTGCACTTACACCTTCTTCCCCAGGGGAGACGGCTTCTCAGGGAGTGGGCACGGTGGAACGGGTGGGTGTTGGTCGCTGCCCCCACCGGTGGACTGAGAAGCCGAGTCAAAGTCAGCGGGGCATTGGAGGTGCAGGCGGAGCCGAGCCGTCCGGGTCCGAGGGATGGAGGGGTCGAAGGCCAGGGGGCGCTGCGTGCAGAGGCTCTGCAAAGGTCCAAGGCTCTGTTCTGTCAGGGTGACCCGGGCGGCTGCCGTCGGGCCTGGCTGGGTGAGCTGTGACTCCGTCCTCCGGCCCCCAGGGGGCGGCGCGGCACCGCGTCCTCGGCTGCCCTGCGTTCCCTCCCTCGCGGCCAGGAGGCGGCGTCAGCGCACGCCTGCGGCGCGCTGTACCCGCCGTCGAG